TGCCTTCTGTTGTTACAAACCTCAAAATTTTGCTCTAGAACAAAAACCCAGATACTGGAACCACAAAGAAAGACCCAAACCAAAATGAATAACGGGTCGTTTGAGGCCCAATAATGAAAAAATGCAATTTTATTTAATGGTATATTTTACACTATTGATCAACGTATTATTATCATACAAATATCATAATCGGAATCGTTTTATTATAATCTATACGAAGAAATAATTCAATTTTGAAAATCGTTCAGTCGTTTATGTGCAACAAACAAATATACAGTTCATTATGAGGATTCAAATTTATATCAAAAGAGTTGATTGGTTTGACACGCATGAATGGCTAAATCACATTCTAAATAATTTTGTGCAAAGATGGTCTTTAGCTGGTGAAAAAGAAAATCATTCTCATTATGATGTTCGTACGATAAAGATACGTTAATCTCAATTGGTGGGACAAGTAGATTCTCATGGGAGGGGCACAAGTATTTTCCTTACAACAAGGGGTGAAGAAATTGGTATTGAACTTGTCATTCACGAGATTCAAATCTAAGATCTCCCACTTAGACGCAAGTGAAAAGAAATAACATTATACTGTAGTATTAAGTAGCAAAAAAGGCAAATTAAAAACAATAAAATTCTTTCATGTGGACTAGTACTCTAAGGGGGCGTTTGTTTGCCCTCACTAAGTGTCATTGGACTAGACTGGACTAACTATTAGTCCAGTCCTGTGTTTGATATCATGCGGGATTAGTGTTAATGAGACTAGCACGGACTCACCTAGACTAAAGGCATCACTAGAGGTTCTTAGCGGGAGTCCCCGAAAACCATGGGACTCTTTAAGAACTGCCTCTCTCCGCTCTCTGTTTCACTCTCTCCTACTCTCTCCCTCTCTCCTTGCCCAGAACCCAGAATCATGAGACCTCATATCTGCTTTTCCCGTGCACATCTCGAGTTTATCGCCGAGCTCGCTGTCGAAAGGCAGTGCTTCTCCTCTGCTCATCCCAATATCACTCTTGACCATCACCTTCATCCGCTGGGACATCGTCGGCAAACTCCACGATGCCAGCCAAAATCCAGAAGACAAAAAATACCAATCTGCCAAAACCCAAATGAAATTCAAAAGCTTGTGAAAAATTCAGAAGAAAAAAAAAACTCATATGACAAATCAGAAGCTTTTGTTGAGAATGAATGAAAAAAAAAAAGAAAAAAAAAAGGAATTTGATGATGAGGGTGAAAGTGGTGAAAAAGAATGGAATTTGGTGATGAGAGAGAAAGTAAAAAGAGAGACACGGGCAGTTGGACGTGAAGGAGAAAAAAATGGAGAGCATTCTAGAGAGAAAGGGTGTTCTAGAAAGGTGAAAGAAAAAAGAAAAAGAAAAAAAAATGTAAAAGATGGAATTAAATATTATTATTTTTATTATTTTAGTTCTTAATCCGATACTACACCAAACGCTTCACTAAGACCTGGTTTGGTACTGAGGTGATTCTGAAAAAAAGCTGGTATAAAAAAAAGCTGGGAGCTGTTTTTGTGTTTCGTAAACATTCAGCTTCAGCTTTTTTTCACAGTTTTGAGTGAAAAAAAGCCAAAAACAAGAAGCTGCAAAACTCAGCTTTGAAAAATCGGCTTTTTTTTCACATCTGTTTTACATAAAAGTTTACCAAACATTATAATACTGCTTTTTTTTTCAAAACACTTTTACAAAAAAGTTTACCAAACACTGTGCTGCTTTATTTCACAGTTGTTTATTCTCACAGCACAACAAAAACATTTTTTTTTTCAAAGCATAACAATACCAAACCAGCCCTAAGTTAGTCTAGCTTAATCTTTAAAATTAATTCAATTCGAATTAGTCTGATGCAATAAACGCATTCTAATGTTTTTTTTAGACGTGAGGGCAAGTAACGAGTTGATCGAATGTACACAACCGATACCTGATGGGCACCATTGGAGTCCGCATAAGTTTTTTTTATTGCTGTTTATTGTGTAAGTGGGGCTTTTCCCAAAGTAAAACCATCGGTAGAGAGTAGATTTAGGATTTTTTTTTTCTTTTTTTTTTCTTTTTTTTGGTACACGACATTATTTTAATCTAATTTAGAGGAAGTGAGTTTCGAACTTGGGTTCCATTGTACGAGCAATTATCCTAAAATTCTATGAGTTGATTGGATACAATTATGAGCTTGTGAGGGACTAAACATACACAACAAAGTATTGTAGAGACAATTACATTGGTAACAGATGGGATACATTAACCAACGACGAATTCCAAGGGAACTTTACGCATACGACTCCGACCCTTTTGGTATTAGGGTTTATCTTGATTGGTGTATGCAGATTCAGTAGTGTACAAGTACAACTCAATAGCCAAAGCCAATAATGTACTCACGTTACCTACTCAAAATATTTCAGAAAAATAGAAATTTTGCATCTGCTAAGAACCCTAGGGAGGAGACAGCGATGGGGATGACGATGACAGCCTACCAAAACACAGACAGATTTAAGTAAGTTTGGGCAAATGTGGTGGATTTATGAGGGAATGAGAGCCACCACTCAATCAAAGAGAAGAAAATGATGGAGAAGTCCATGGCAGATGATGGGCATGTGGGCATTGCCAGAGCACCCATCCACATCTCTTACACATTCATAGATAAGCTTGTGCCCTTTTCACATGACAAAGACCCCATCTTTCCCTTGTTTTTGAGTAAAACCCCTTCGTTTTTTTCTATATCTTTGTACGTAGGGTTCAGGAGATTGATTCATTTGTGCTTAGGGAGGGAGCAAGGGAATTTAATTGGAATGAATACGAGAGGCAAGAAAACGAGTTGTTTGGTGGGATTAACACATCACACACACTCACTATTAGTTGTGTGTGTGTGTGTGTGTGTGTGTGTTTTTGTGTGTTCTGAGAGACAAAACAAACCCCTTCACATTATATATAATCCATTGTTCTTGTTGTTTCGACATCTGATTTAGTAGTTTATCAAATTCGAGAACGTTTTTAGGTGACGGTGACCAAACTCTGATCAAACCGTATAAAATTGTCATAGACCACTTTAGTGGATGGAGAGTTTAAACATCTACCGTCTCCCAACCTTAAGAATAAAAGTACCAGAAGACTAATATATAGTGTATATATACAGTATGAATGAATCAGAATTTATATATTACTCTTAGCTCGTACAATAATTTTGAGAGGGAAAAAAAATTGGCACCCCCTTATGTGTTAACAAACCCCACCAAATTCGAACCTTTTTCTTTTTCTATAAATATCTTCCAAATTGAAATGATACAATGCACAAACCATATGAACCTAATAAGTACCATTTATAATACAAGAAAGAGAAGGAAAATAGATAACCTTTACATTATTGACAAGTGCATGCCTACCAGAGAAGAACTTAGGTAGGAATAAACGACCATGTTATCGATAGGGAGCACCAGTCGTAAAAATATGACTCTGATCTCAATAAACCTAGTTTCCTCCGAGTTTGGCCAATGTGAGAACTTGTCTGATCAAGCAGACTTACCAGCCGGTCCAAAACTTTGGCAAACCAGAAAAATAATATAAAGAGTTGAAAAATACTGTTTGACTTTGTATGATTGATGGACCACATAATTGAATAGGGTATCGGCTTGTTGCTGTAGATTAACACGACCTGTATATACAAACAGTGACAATAATGAAGTCATGAAGAAAAGCATGTGATCCAGATAATAATTAACAAAATTTGAGGACCATATTCTAATAAGGACTTTTTGATGGACCATTTTCAGTAGGTCCTGAAAATGGTGTGTTTGTGCATTTTAAAGATTGGAGCTGGAGACACATGAGGTAAATGATAGATGGGTTTCATAGGCTCAAAGGCAAAAATAGGTATAAATACGGTCTTAACTGTTGTTAGTTAGTTGTTAGTTGTTGCTTGTTTGTTACTAACCAGATAGTCCAATCTAATTCCTTCTCTTTTTTTTTTTTTTTTTCCTCATTTAAGTCACTTCCTTTTGGACCATATAACGAATTAGGAAGATGTTAGGATCAGTCGCGAGCATGTCTGCATAGTTTTATCATGTTCGTTGGCGTCTTATACGCATTAGAAGTTACGGGGTGGTCAACAAAACGATCAATGTACACAGTTTCTCTCAATGTCCACTATTTCTACACATGAAATTATTCAAAATTCATTTGATGTTCACCTTAAGCGTGAATGCTATGAAAGACAAAATGTCTCAAAGAAGTTGAGGTAGGGTTAAATAGTCGAGAGCAGCTAACTGCAGTGGCGTGCAGACTTAATCCTTCCACCTAGAGTTCTTTCAAGATCCGTCGTTATCAACAACAATAATCAATATGTGCAACTAACTCTAGCTCGCAAATTAATTAAGAGACAGAGCCAACTCAACACACACCTCGTTCCATTTTCAAGAAAAAAATTACATGAAATATAGACGTCATGGTGCATGACTGAGTCTAACAGAGACTCTAACCAATTATGCAACTTAATGTAAAAAACTTGAAACGCATAGCATCATGTTACTTGAGTAACGATGTAAACGAGTCTTTTCAATTCTTTCTATATTTTTAGCAATAGAAAAGTATTACAATAGGAAAACGTTATGAATTTTTTTATACAATAAGATCCAAAATTTTAGGGTATGGAATGATTATTGATTAAGATGGGAGTGGAATTATGATGATGATGGGAATGTTTACTCATCACTTGAGACAAAACATGTGTAATCAATCTTTGATTCAATCGCGGAAAACATTGTCCATTTTTTCACCCTCCCAACTTTTACTTTTTACCTTTTTTTCACATGCCAGAGCGAGAAACTTTGCAGTCGGTCAAAAATATAATTCGATATATTAAATATCATAATATAAATAGTTGAAATTTTTCTTAAGTATCAAAGCACTTGTATTATGCTACTTGGTGTATCATGCAATATTTTCGGCATGCAAAAAATATCTTCATGAGAGCAACCCACTTCCAACTTTCAACAACATGTCCCGAAATATAATAGTACAAATTAGAATAAACAAACCATTTTTTACAGATTACAAAAGCAGATCGACCGTTAGATTTTTTTTGCCTGGTTTTTAACAACGGAGACAAACATTTTCTAATCTAAAATACGAAAAAAAAGATTCAAAACTAAAAGATGATATTTTAATTTTGATTACAATTTAAAAAGCGCGCGAAATGGAAACTTTATGCTTTTAGAAGACCAACTTCCTACAAGGCGCCGAAACTTTACTATAGTTGGTGGGAAAAGCAGCGAGATCTCGGATCGTTTCGCCGATCAAGTCCTTGAAAATGAGCCGTTCGATGTCCAAAACGGCGTCGGACATTTCGATCGAACAATCTCCCCAACCGTTGATCGAGTCGCCTGCAAGGTCCTTTCTCAACACCCCGCATATGACCTCGAACAAGTCCTCGGACTTGTCCCTCTCTCGGATTCTCCGAAGCTCCGACCAAATTTCGGGCAACGAAATTTGCCACGAGACCGCCTTCCACGGTGGCAATCGGCGGTTTCGGTCGAGAATTTCGGTGACGGTGTCGAAAATGAGCCTTCTCTCGAGTGTTGACTCTTTGGAGGTGTCCTTTCCCTTGAAATGTTGCTTCTTCTCTAGTAATAGGAAAATGTCGGAGTCTTCCGGTAAGTAATTGGAAACCCGAAGGATCTCCGATACATAGATGAAATCCCCGTCTTCGATTTCGGACTCGGCTCCCCACATTGCCTCCCCCCAAATGTCTTCCATTTCAACTGTTTCATCAAACCAAAAATTAAAGTTAATTAAATGTAACAATCAAACCAAACCAACCAAATTAAAATCCCGATCTACGAGTAACATAGCAAACGTCACACTTCAATACTGCACGGACTATATGCCACTAAATTCGGTGGGTCATAGTCACCGATTATAATTAAGGGTTCATCAATTCCATTTGACTATCAAAACGTGGTCGTTTTCCTCCAGCATCACCATCACAGAGTACAACACAACCACCTACCTATTATCCCGTTAAGATGGAAAGACCAATAAAATCAATCCACGTGTGAGCATAGAAAAAGGCTGAGGTGAATAAGTACAAATTTGGGTCCTGCTTTTTCTTGCACCGATGTGGCAGGTATTTATTGGAGGGTATAAATTTAACCAGAAATATTCACTGGGCTTAAGTGCAGAGGAGCCCTACCTCCATAACTGCACAAAAACAGTGTCCCAGTAGAGTGGACTGGTAGAAGGATAATCACTTTCATATCCTCTTCGTTAGGATACAAAGATCATTTAATCACATCTGTTCATCGTACATCGTGCTATTATTTTTTGTCAGATACTATTTATATTCAATTTTAAATAAAAAAATTTACAATAATTTTTGATCGTATAATGCATGATAAACGGATGTGATAAAAGATAATGTGTGACATACGCCGCCATAGTAAAACGAAAAATTTAGCAATCAAAGTCTACGTGGACTGTGGAAGAACAAAGACCAACCTAAAGCTCCCAAACAATTTCATGGACATGAGTCGTCACAGTATTTCAATCTAATTATGTACATAAATAGTGTGTGACATATTCAAAATTAATTCATGCGACAATTTTTATGTCACACGGGCAAGTTGGATCGCATGGCATGATAGTGCATGTGGTGGAACTTTCATGCAAGTGAAATACCACATTAACGGTGGTAGTATTTAAAACCAATCATGCACTATCATATAACAAAATTTTGTTTTGCCAAAAAGGCTTTTTGTTCGACTAAAGTTACGTGAGAAGGTAAAACGCATGTCAATGATTAACGTGATGTCTAGGTAAGTTTTTACCTTTGAAATCAATGCTGCGTTTCATGACTGGCGAAGGCGAAGATTCCTCTTTGTAAAACGAGGAGTCGAGCACCGAGACAGGACTCGGTTGCAACTCAGCTATGCTGTGAAGCAGCTTATCGCACCTCTCCAACATACTCCTCCCTTCTTTGTACTCCTCCACCTTCCACCTCTGCGAAATTAATTACGTTAATTAAATTAATTAAACAAAAAATAATTACGTTAATTAACTTAATTAAACAAACATTAATTACGTTAATTAATGTTTTGATGATGATTAATGTACCTCCGTGTCGGCTTGTGAAGAGGTGCTATTGTTGATGCTGCTTTCTGACATGGTGGTGGAATATTCGTCCTCCGCCCGAGGAAACACCTTTTCCTCCCTGGGAGCAATCTCAACCGTTGGTTTCTTGATGTTCCTGGGAGATCGATTCGCCGCCGTTTGGTCTGGTCTTCTTGAACTGATTTTAGGCGACTGCACTGGAGACACTCTCCTGTGCTCCACCGAATCATTCCCCTTCCGCTGCGTTTCGATCGATAACGGTCTTCCTCTCCTACTCGGACTCCTCACGCCGCCCTCGCGCGCAGCCGGACTCCTCCCTCTGGTCTGGCTCCGTACATTCTCCGGCAGGTCGCGCCTCGGGCTCACCGCCGGCGACAACTCACCATTCCGGCGAACTCCGGCCCTAGACCTGAACCCCGAACTGGGTGGCGGCGACTCGTTTCCGAATCTGGCCGCACGGTGAGTCGAGCTCGGCGATCTGGACGGCTTCATTACAACAATCGGTGATTCGAAGCTCCGATCGTAGACGAAGTTTCTGGAATTAATCTGATTGGAAGCTTTCCTGGAGTGCAGGAGGCCTTTGAGCTGCAGAGCTTCGAGGATTTGCTTCAACGTCTCCAAATCTTTCGACGGCTCGTTGATTCCTGGCATCTTCAACCTCTTCTCAATCTCGTTGTATACAGAGACACTCTGCTTCGGCTCCGGGAAGAAGTCCGCCGAGTCGTAGAAGCACTTCCTCTGCGCCATTCCTTTGCTCTGAGCCTTCGCATTGTTCTTCGGATCTGGCTGCCTCGGACTGGTGCCCCGATTGGAGCTCCGGTCGTCTTTGCCTGCATTGCCGGGAAAATTATGGCTCTGCACATTCTGTTGCGGCGGTTGCTTCTGCTGGAAATTGTTTCCGTCGACGAACCGGTACTGGTTCAGATCTCGGTTCACTCTGGACTCGGACGCGGATCTCCGGAGTTTAATCGGTTCGGGATTTGACTGCTGTATTGGTTCAAGTCCCATTAGCCTCGCAATAACGCTGGGCGATCGGTGTTGCTTCTCGCTATCGCTTCCTCCGTCGACGTTGGAGCTTCGACTCGCGGTTAGTATGGCGGCGTTTGTTCGGATCTCCCTCGGGTATAGGCTTCCTTTGGCGTCGACGGTGGCTCTGCTATCGAGTGAGAGCCTCGGGGCTTCTCTGGAAAACTTCCACGACGACCTCGTGCCTTCTTTGAACTCGAAAACTGGAAGCGGAAGAGGAGATTTCGGATAAGGTTCCGGCGACGAAGGGGCGCGAGTTTCTGGTGACGGAGGTCGGAGATCCGTCATCGGAGATGGAGATTGCTTCGATCGGTCTGGAGACGGTGCCGTCTTGTTCTGCGGTTGTTTTTCCAATTCTTTGGATATCTCCGGCGACGTGGCCGACTCCGACTCTGGCGACGACACCGCCGTCTGAGAGTGTTTCAATAAATGATAAATTAAATGCAATGAAAGAGAAAGTACGAGAAGCGAGATTGAAACACTGGGCATTTCCCAGGGAACCAAATAGAAAATAAATGGAAAACTCACCGCCGAGGAAGGGAGGCGTTTGGCGCTGAGAAGCTGGTGGCGATCGAAGATCTGGAGGAAGCCAGCCATGCACCCCATCTGTTTCTTTATGTGCTTCTCTAGGTTCTGTTCTTGCACCATTCTTCCAGTCGTCATTTTTTTTCCCGGAAAATATATCTGTCACTTTCCCTCTCTCCAAACAGTACTTCTGTTTATTTCCCGGCTCTCCCTCTCTCACTCACTTAAGCTTAGATTTCTCCATAACTCTCTCTCTCTCTCTGACTGACCACGCCTTTATTTGTGTCTCCCGCTTTTCTGGTTCATTTTAAAGAGGCTGGCGGAGTTAATGGAAGGCCAGCAGTGACATAATAAGGGCATCTTTGGTATTTTATCTGGTCATGGTTACAGTGGTTTTCTTGCAATTAAAAACGTTTATGGCTGGAAAATTTAAAAGCACTTACATTACATTTGGATTAGTAAATTTAATATTATTAAGAAATTTTAAAATGACAAAAATTAAAATGATGAAATTTTATATTTTAGAATTTGTAAATTTTATTGTTTGGCTAAATTTTAAGTACATATATTAATGTGTGTGTAAATCATTACTATATCAATGAGAGATTGTATTTAAGAGATATGCTAGTAATGATGGTTGAGATGGTCTCGACGCTATTCGGTTTTGACTACGGTTTAGTGGTATTCCTCTTCACTTATAAGTGAAAGGTTTTAGATTCGATTATTGTCAAATACGAAGTTAAAGTACATTGTTGCGACTGTGAGCCTATTGTGAGACTTAGGCCACATTATCTCGATTAGTATAAATAATGTCGTTTGTGGAATTTGATTTTCAAGAATTGGTGAGTTACAGTGAGTGCCTTTAATAATATGAATTGACGCAAGTGCACTTACAGTAGTGGAAATGTGTTGACAGGTTTAGATTCAAACTTCAACCGTAACTAATTTAACTAAATCTATCATTTAACTAAAAAAAAAAAATAAATCGACTGGTCGTGCCCTCAAGTGAAGGCAGTCAAGGGAAGGAATTGGGATTCCTAATTTTTGGAGAAGTGAGATAGCGGTGGACTGGTTGCCTGCACCGAGAGAGCACGGACCTCCAGCCTAGACCCGCATTACGCGAGCCTCCGTGGGTACCGTATATAAGGCATTATCATTGCATGCAGCCATTTGCTCGAATTGCGGACCCACCACTCCCCTTGAACGAACCACGACCCGTTTGACCCAATCTACGACGGATGCTATCAGCCGTTGATTTCAGGCTGACTGGTGGGAAGCGGAATACCTGCAGACGCACCACTTTAGTGGGAACACCCGTTGACGGATGCTCTCAGCCGGCCCTGGTGGGAGACCCTTGCCCACGAGGCTTCGAGGGTTTCCATTTTATTTGCCATTTTTTTTTATTGTACATAAATACATTTTAAGGACAAACACTTAAGGTCGTTTGATAGTTATTTTGTTTTTAATTCTTAATGTTTTTAAAATATCAAATACTACAAGTCGTTTGGTAGTTATTTTTAATTTTCGTTGTTCAAAAAATCAAAACTACAAGCCAAACTTTAGAAACTAAAAAAGATAATTTTTACTTTTTCGTTTTTAGTTTTCATTATTGAATACGAACAAGTGAATGATTAATTACGTATTCGCACGATAGTCTCGAACCCTTCCATTTGATCCTAATATGAGAAGAGAGCCACTTGGCAACGGGGTACTCTTGTGGCTCCCGAAAACGGGACGTCGTGCCAACACAATGTCACTAGTGGACAAATTTTGCCTTGGAAATTTGGGGGTGCCACTTGGGTGATGGCCACGTGGAGGGTGAAGGGAGATACAAGTGGAGGAAAGCTAGTCCACGTAAGGACACACATATACCGGACTGGTGAATGGAGTGGGGGAGAGAATCAAGGGGCTGGTCCGGCTGGAGCTAAAACCCAACCATGGGACGACATAAAAGCATTGGAACTGTTATGTGAGGTGGATGAGGTGGGATATGGCAGGCTCACCGCTTCTGGGTGCTGAGAGTTCCAAACAATCGACATTCTTCCTCAAAGATGGTGGATAAGGGGCTCAAATCAGTTCATGCATAATAGTCTTCTGACACCTGGGTTTGTATATTAAGATAAGAGCTGTCGAACAAACATGAGAAAGACTTACATGAAACGAAGTATTACTATATTAATATTAGAAATTTATTAGACGACGTGTAACTAAGTAAATATGTGTGTGTGTGTGACAATGCATACTAAGTTTGTAAGGTAAGTGACGGTGTATTCGTTTTATGTAGTGTAAAAGCATTTTATGACGCATGATAAGTTTGGGAAAGCTAGTAACGCTATTCTTGTTTCATGTAACTCTCTCTTCTAGAACACAATTTAATGCAGCGGGATATATAACAACTAACAAGGAACAACGAACGATATTTCCTAAGCTAGAATTCACTAGCAAAATCTTAGAATTCACTAGGAAATTGAGTAAACTCAAAATTTTTGAATAATAGTCGAAAGACGACGATCCTAACATCACAAAGGTGTATTTAAACATTAAAAAAAAAACAAACAAACATAAAACCAAACCCTAGAAGGACTTAAAAGTTCAAACAGAAAACAAAATAAACAGTTAACAAACTATCAAAAATATTCATAAAACTTAAGATGCTGTTTCGGGATAGTAAATGAAATAAGCTTTTTTAGCTAAAATGGTTCTTAAGATTTACATAACTCCTCACTTAGATCCTTGAGATTTGAAATTAATAGAAGTAGTCCCTGAGTTTGTCCACCATCAATTATTTTGGTCATTCCATGAAAAATCTTCATTAAATAAGGCTAAAATGATAAAAATACCCTCAATTTTTGTCAAATCATTTGGCCCATTGTTTATTATATTGAGGGCATTTTTATGATTGTGGTCCTTATTTAATATAATTTTTCATTGAAGAACCAAAATGATTGATGATGAACAAACTCATGGACCAAAAATTATGCAAATCTCAATAATCATTTTGACTAAAAACCATGAAAGAATTTAGCCAACATTGCCCTATATTATGAGCGAATCGACATATATATATATATTATAGGCCTGATTCCAATGCTGAAGCCCAAATCTGCAATCCTTAGACCATGTTGTTGGTTTTGCGCTTCTCGAGCAGCTCTTCAATCCGCTCAACCATCTATCACAATTGTTCATACATAAAGGAAGGTGACTGACAGGTGGTTAGGATCTTATTTTTCAACTCTAGGTTCAAACACTCCCTCTCGTGGCTGAACCCTTATACTATGCTGAAATTCAAATTGATGTATTTGTTAATTTTAAGATATGAAATGAATCCCCTAATTAATTAAAAATACAATTTAGAGAGGGACAAATTAAAGGAATAATTAAGCAAATTAATAAAAAATGAATACAGAAAGTCAAATAAATAAATGAGGCACGATGAATGTTGATGAAGCTACTGTAAGGGAATTAAGGGGATACACTTTACTATCGATCGTCATGTATTGTTCTACTTTCGAAGTTAACTATCCTTTTTACAAGAAATTTATATAAGATCTAATATGATTGATTTATGTTAATCGAACATGAGATGCTATGCTTACAAATAATGAAAAATAATAATAAACCGCAATGCTAGTTGTGAATCCGAGGGCAACCTTTGATTGCTCAATTTTTTTGGGTACTATTACATTTTATGTTTTCAGTTGTTCATGGTAGAGAAATTTTTTAATGTGCTGGATTTATGTCTTGGTACTTCAAGTGTAATAATACAATTCGTTTAATTTTTTTTTTCAAGTTTCTAACCAATTGTATTGTTATACATGATGTACTGCCCGGCACACTAAAAAATATCTAGTTCATGGTAGGAAATTCCAAGTGACCACAATCATTTGGTTATGTGCTAAATATGCCACTTTCTATGTTCAATAAATAGCTTGCATTTTACTTAATAATTAAACACCATATTAATTACCAATAATGTCATGATATGTGTGCCCCAACTTGAACAAAGATCATTTCGGGGTCTCTGCCCTTCCCTTAATATCTGTTCTGAATTTAATCAATTTTATCCTTTTTAAAATTTCCAAATTTAGGGTTTCGAGCAACGGTAAACTTGCTTAATTACCTGAGCAAAAAGTTAACTAAATGTTATTAAAATTATTCTCCAGGCGTTTTTGCTTAAGGTTGCAGCAATTATGTGCCTAAATACGCGCACAATATTAACACATAATATTACTATATATGGTTTACTAATTTTTTTTTTGTATCTTGGTGTTGATAAAATTGTGTACATTCTGTCGAATCGAAACACCTTGCTTAAATTAGAAGGCAAATGTAATTGTAGCTAATGCCGTTATCTGTTTCACATATTATAATATGCTGCTGATTCCTATAATTCTCTTTTTGTGTAGAACATTTGCAACTTGTTGCACTTGCTTTGCAATCTGCAACTTGTTTAAGAAAATGCCGCATGAATTTATGTAATTTTTAGTTAAGTCTAATCACAAAATGCTTATTTCAGTTGTTAATTTTGTTTAGGCATGAAGGGCAATTTGAATATTATGAAAGTTTAACTTTTTTTGCCTTCTCTTTATATGTATAGATGATAGATGATTAAGTTTGTGCTTATTTTAGAGTTATTCTCTAAACATGAACAGACGTGTAAAAATATTTCATTTGTACTTAATTTTCTTCAGAATTAATTTATTGATGTAATTATTTTTAAGTTCATCCCTTCTAAGTTTGAAGTCTAAAATCTGATAATTTCAACAAAAATGTATATTTTGAGTAATGTTAGATAGACAAAATTTTGTAAACTAAATAACATAGAAGTTAATGATTGAATTATTACTTAAGCGTTGATAAATTGCTCATTATTTCATATTTGTGACATATTATTTAGTTTGTAAATTTTGTCTACAAATTTAACATTCCTCGCATTATTCATATATATATATATATATAATCTATATGTATTTTTATATCTTGATTATTGTGTGCAATCTGGGGAAAAGAAGCTTATGGTCGATTATTTAGTCGATCTCGAGTGGTGAGCTTTAAGACAATTGGTCAACCAAGCTGTTGATGCTTGGATTAAAAATGGTGTAACAATGTTGTTAAAACAAAGCTCACTGCAAAAATCAGTGTTGGTTTAACAAAATAATTTCCTTCAAGAAGATAAGACATATAATCAGACTGGAGAGACTTGTATAAGAGTAATGTTATTTATACCATGTTTTTATATCATATTTTTATACCACCTTAGATGGCATCTGATGTGGATAGTCACATCATTTGAAAAATTT